TTGGTGCGCACAGCCTTCAGGTTGTCACAGGGCTGATAGGTGAGCAGAAAATTCAACCTTTTCACCAAGGGATGCAGATCCTGAGCACGGTACCCGCTGTAATACTCCAGAGTGGGGGTCTGCAAAGGGACAAGAGGTGAGCCACAGTCATCCCTGCGATGTCACATTGTCCTTCCATCCTTCCCCATGTTCCCACGCTCACCCAGCCACCCAGGTTCTTCATGGTGAGAGCCAGCAGCAAGCTGCTGGCAGCCAGCTTAGAGGGACGCTCCCGTGCGTAGTCGTACTCCTGCAGGGTCATCTCGCAGAGAAAACGGGCCAGAGTCAGCGTCTCCATCGAGGCACGGGCACACTGTGGGCAGAAGGCTCAGATTTAAGCAGCACCACACCAGCATCCTTCTTTCTGGGGCACTGGATGCAGATCCCAAGCCCTCAGGTCAACGCCATCACCACTAACCCTCCCTCCCTCCCTCCCTGTGTCAGCCCATGGGAGGTGGCAAAGCCCCACCTTGGCAAAGCGCCGCAGGAAGCGGTAGGGGATGGGGATGTTGATGTCGAAGTTGAGGGTGCGGAGGATGCTCGTCTCCATGGCAATGAGCTCTTCCTTCTTGTAGGCATCATCGCAGATGTACAGGATGTCATCCATGCATGGAGGACAGCGCTCCTGCGGGGAGGAACTGCTCAGAACTCATCTTGACAACATCTAGGGGGAGCCCATGCAATTTTCAGGCCTTCTCAGGGTACATCTCCCACCAGGAGCATCATATTGTGACACCCTGGTATCCTGCCAGTCCCCAGAATGCAAGAGGAGCCAGGTCTCCAGTAGGCAGGATTCAGCCCTCAGCATAGAAAGGGACAGCACGAGGATGGGTGTGCCAACATTCTCCAAAACCCACACCAAGAGTCACCTCGAATTTGGAGGCAATGAGGACAGCAGTGGAGCCGATGAGCTGCAACTTGTCCCTCATGCTCACCACCTCCACCAGGTAGTGGTCCACCAGCTTCACTGCCAGGTACAGAGTCTCATGGTTCAGCTCAAAGTTTTCCTGCAAGGATATGAGGTGTTGGGCAAAAGCCTGAATTCCTGGGCCATTCACAGTATCATCAGCATGGGGAGGGGGATGAAGAGGAGCTCTGAACTGGGGATGTTCATAGGTCCAGAGCGACTCCCACCCTATATAAAGCATGGGACAAGTCCAAGCCCCCTCCCCATGCCTGCCTACCTGCACCTCCACCATCCAGTCCACTAGGATGGCACGCATGTCCCTACTGATATCTGGCTGCTTCTCCATGTAATCAGGGAGCAGGAACTTTTCCTGTCAAGGCAGCAGAAGTCAAAGACTCCCCTCCCAAAATGAGCCCCTCCCACCCCACACAGGACTCCCTGGGCAGACATCACTCATCGCCCACCTCCCTCTCTCGCATGTAGTCGAAGATGTCCTTGGCATACTCAGCATTGGCATAAGGATCTCCCAGCTGCTCCTTATCTATGTCCTCCACCACTACGACCTGCTGTGTGGAGAAGGCAGCAGTGACAACAGGCATGGGAAAAGCTTGCAGAGCTCTATGGGGTAGCACATCCTCTCTCCAAGCTGACCCAGAGCCTTCACTCCTCTCTTTCCCATTGGAGAGGCTCCTAGAAGCAGGTTTAACCTCCAGCTCCCATCCCACCACGCTGAGCAGCTTCCAGAGATGCCCCAGTACCCCTAGAATAGGGCTGGGGGCCAGGATACACCCTGCGGTCCATCACCTGGGACAGCTTCATACCTGCACAGTCTCCTCAGGCACAGAATCTTTCTCAGGCTCCACAGGAACGTCTGCTGGGGGGTTTTTCCTCCATGACCTTGATAGGACAAAAACTTCATAAGGGAGACATCTCCAAGAAGTACCATCTATCTCCTGCCCATCCCCATCCTGCTCACGTACTCCAGCACCCCAGTGAAGCCCCAACACCACAGGGATGGCTGTGAGTGGGTGCTGGTCCCCACACCCTGTTCCCATCTCACCTGGGTACTCACTTTTTTAGGTTGATCTCATTGTTCTTGGCCACTGTGGGGGCAGGGGGGGCCCTGGTTTCTTTGCGGATGGGAGCTCTGACCTCCTCCTTCTTCCCTGTCACTGTCTGGTTCTTGTGAGACTGGTTTTGGGGGGAAAAGAGAGGAAAACGTAGCAAAGAGGTAAGGTGAGGCTCATCTGCGCTTCTCAGGGCGGGGGCTGGGGGCACAGCAATGCACTCACATTGGTGATGTCCCCAAATGCTGACCTCTTCTTGGGCCCTCCCTGGGGCGAGGATGGGGAGCGTTTGGCCTGGCAGCCCTCCTCCTGCAACACAGTGATGTGGGGCTGGGGGCACCCCATAGGGAGCCCAAACTGCCCATAGCCCACAGCCATACCTTCTCTTGGGGGACATTCTCGGTAATGGAGAGTGCCCTGCTGGCTCGGGGCTGCTTGTTGCTCTGTGCCTTGTTGCTGGGTGCCACCGGCATCCTCCTCCTCGGCTTCTGCGAGCAAAGAGGGGGGTGGGCACAGTTATGGGGGAGGGGGTCCAAATCTCACTGCACACCCGCAGTAGAAGGGCTACGGGGCCCACTAGCACCGTTCAGAGGCTCAGAGCGTCCTCCCAGCCCCGCACACAGCCCCACACGGAGGGGAGCACCGGGGGGGGGGGGGGAGAAGCAAAGAGATACGGGGAGAGGGGGTGCAGCGGGACCTCCCCACCCCTCCTTCCCTCCACGAGGTCTCAGTGCCTATAAGGTAGGAGCCCAGCTCAGCACCCAGCGACACACGAAGGAGCCCCACACGTAGGTAGGAATAAAACTAGGGGTCACAAACGGGAATTCCAGGCTAAAGCATCCCACCGCCGCTCACCTGCACGCAGCCGCCGCCGGCCCGGCTCTTTCGAAAATAGCAGCGCTGCGGCGGCTGCCGGCACTGGTCGAGCCGCGCGGCCAATCAGCGAGTGGGCCGCTCCGCACGAGAGCCAATGGGAACGCCGGGATGGATGCAGTTGCAGGAAAAAGAGTTTAAAATTCGGCCCCAGCGGCCAATGAGGAGCGGCGGAGGGGAGAGGGGCGGGGTTATGGCGGTTGGGGGCGGGGCCGGGGCGGTTGGGGACGGTGTCATGGCGGCCTGGCGGCGTCACGGCGGCTTGGCGGTATCATGGCGGCGGTGTCATGGCGGCGGTGCGGCGCAGGGAGACCCGTAGCGCCCTGCGTGACTTCCGCGGCCTCCGCGGATCTCTTCTGACACACGGCCCGGGTTCCTGCGAGCTCTGGGGACTGTGTCCCCATCAGGGGGCTGCAGGGCCGTGCTTGGGCCAAGCGAGGCCTAGTGAGGCCCTGTGCCTGTGGTGAACACAGCCTGAGACTGCAGCTTCCCTACCACCAACAGCCGACTAAACACCTCCCCCTGGCCTGTCGCTCTTAGATTATGTGCAGAGTCACTCTCTATCTTGTTTACGAGGTTCCCTTATTGACTAAATAGCTCTCCCCACCGTTGGCCCCGAGGCTCTGAGGCCCGAGCAAAGGTGAGCTCGGCTCTGCTCTGAGGAGAACCCCTGAGGGCTGTGCTCCCCCCACAGAAACCCTCTGGGCCACACCACACCCACACCTGGGAAATGGGTGCAGCCACCTGTGGGTTCCACCCCCAGCCAACAACCTGCAGCTGTGCAGCAGTGAGCTGCCCGGGCCGGGTCGGTGTCTGCCCGGCTCCATGGGGGGAAGCAGGAATTTCTAGTCCCCGCAGCACCGCCCTCGGGAGGCTCTTGGGTGCTTTGGAGGTGATGGGGGGATGAGAAGCATCTGCTGCGAGGTGTTTGCTCTGGGATGGCTGCCCTAGCACAGCCTCAGGGTTGAGAGGAGGAGCGAGAATTATCGTCTGTGGGATGGACAGAGATGGGTTTTCCTTCCTTTCCCAAGCTAAATCCTTTCCCTTTCCCAGGCTCAAACAGGCCTGACTTGTCGCTCCCCGTGGCCCAGTGCCAGCAGCACGGAGCTGAGCACTATGAACAGGACTGGAGCTCAACATTTTGTTCCTCCACCCCTTTCCACTGTTAATTGCAGAGGAGAGACTGAAGGGGGATAAGAGCTGGTGGTGATGCAGTGTGGGTGGCTGCAGGCCATGTATCCCCCACTATCCTTTCAGGGTGATGGGAATCCCCCCTCCCCAGGACCTGGAGCCCACATGGGGATGGGCTGGCAGGAGCTTGGGTGTGACAGCTTCATTTCCTGAGCTCTGAGCTTCTGCTTTTGTTGGAAATATCCAAATAATTTTTGTCAGGACAGTATCTCTGATAAAGCAGATTTTATTCACGATTGCAATGGCGGGCCTCCTGCAGGCAAGAGAGCACCCAGAAAACAGAGTTACATCTTTTATTCCCTATTCCCTGACGCTGATCTCTTTCTCCCCTGGTTCCTCATTGGCTGAGTGTTTTAGATTCACAATCTTCTCGATGCTTCACTAAACATGGAAACACTGGACAAACATAAATGTTTGCTGCATAGGTGTAAATCTCCAGTTAATTAATTAACTTATTCCACACCTGTACAAGGCCAGGTTGGATGGGGCCCTGGGCAGCCTGGTTGAGCATTACATGGGGTGGTTGGTGGCCCTGCATGTGGCAGGGGGTTGGAGATTTGTGATCCTTGAGGTTCC